CCTTAATTCTCAAAGCACCCCTCTTTTTATTGCTTTGCTGTGCTGTATCTCAGGTACTATTTGCTGGATAAAAGGTAGCTTTCTCCAGAGTCTGAGATGGCAACTAGGATGTGCCGAAGAGGTGCCTGGGTTATAATAATATAATAATAACCCTTGCTTTTGATATAGTGCCTTATCATGTCTTTGAGACATCTCAAAGCGCTTCACAGAATATACTGTTAATTGAATTGACTGTGTACTTTGTGGGCGGAAAGCTTTGAAAAGGTTGCCCTGTCTTCCAAACGTTCTGTCTTCTTGGGGGAAGAAACTAAATCCAAGGGTAAAAAACCCATTCCTTGGACCACTTTCTCATTTGATTGTGATGTTTTCTATTTCTCATTCATTTGGTCAGAGAACTTTGTACTCGTTCACAAATGCCTCCTTGTGTTGCCATTGTGTATATTTCCTGTTTATAAGTAGGCTAATTTCAAAGACTCACAGCTCCTATCCAAAACAAGCCTTTTATGGTATCAGTTTCCTAACGGAAATAAGACTAAAACTCGCCTTTAAAAAAATCATTAGTGGCGCTTTTGATACATTCAGGGTAAATTGGTTTATGGCAATTCAGGATGTTCAAATAACTGAGCACAAAGAGAGCTTACCAGGGGATTAATATTGCAAAGAAAAGATCACAATAATTAAAATGGAAGAAAAGTATAATTAAAGGAATCATCCACTGGACTTTAGTTTCTCCTTTACTAGAAAGTGTGATGGAATTATATTTATATTGTGAATTCCTTTGATCTTAAATAAGGCTATGTAAGGGAACATTTAATTTTATTACACCATCTTTCAAATTATTTGTGAGTGGTTATAAGGTTTATGAATGTCAACATCAATGATGCATTAATTACTTGATTACATGTTATATTGTCTAAGGCAACTTATTTACAGTCAGATTTTAGTTGCATAATACTCCCTCATTATCTTTGAATTTTTTTTGAAATTTATTGGAGAAAAAAATGACCTATTTTATGAACGGCAGCAGCTATTTAAAAACATTTGAAAGGATCAGCAAGTGTCATTGCAGATGTGAGTAGACTGATTGCTACATTCTGAAGAATGGTCTTTGTAGTCCAACAAAAATGTTCCCCTCAGCCAGCTTGTTGGTATATTATGGAGTTTGTTGCAGCTGTCCTACACTGTTCATACAGTTTTACTAACACATGAATCGCCTTGAATTTGTCCTGTGTAGTTAAGCGACAACCACTGAATTTTTCAACAAAAAAAACTAATAATAATCCGTGCATTTGATACAGTGCCTTTGAAGTCAAGTGTCCTAAAGTACTTCACAAATGGGTGCAGTGATTGTGTGTGTTTAGGTGAATGCAGAAGCCAATTCGCAGGAAACTATATTTTGGTGATGTTTTTCCTAGTTTGCTCTATTCGGTCCCACTACATGAAGCTCCGCCAGTGTTTCTCAACATGTTTGATCAGATTGAGTAACTACTGTATTGAGTTTGTCTTCAATGTAAGAAGAAACCTTACACAGAAACCCTCCTGACGTGAAAGGCGCTGTACAAATGTAACTTTGTGTTGTACCACTCCATTCAGAAGTGATTCAGATTGTTGCTCTATGTGGTTTAATATTAAAAATATTATGTTTGATCTTTGCCTTTATTACAATTTAGACTCAGGTGTTAAACTGAGGTCCATCTTGCCTATTCAGATGGGCATTAAGGATCCCATGGTGCTATTCATAATGAGAAGAGAGTTTCTCTCTCCCGGTATTCTGGCCAACAATCTCCAGATTTGCCATTCACTCATATCTCTCTGTGGGACATTGCTGTGTGAATATTAACTTTGGCCTCAGTAACAACAGTCACTCCACTTCACAATAAATTCTGTGAAGCGCTTTGAGACGTTTTGTTGATGTGATAAGGCGCTATATCAAACACGAGGATGATTTTTTAATTATTATTACAAGGAAAACTTTCTGAAACTCCAGTAGTTACATAAAGCATCTGTAGAAATAGCTCACTTTGGGTGTAATAGGCTGATGTGTGTGTCCTTCTTGCAGATACAGCATACCGCAAGTCTCAGTGGAGGGTTGACAGATTCCCTGTGTAATGGGAACTGGTTATTAGAGGAGAGAGTATTTGTGGTTTCAAATGAGTCTCTGTAGAGCCATTCGTCAAGAGACATTGAGCGTCAGATATCTTAATGTGCTGGAGGTATAATATTAAAGGATTGAGAAGATTTAAGAAATTTCAAGAAAAGGAGAAGGTTGGGTGAACGGTAAACACAGTGTTTTTGGTTCAGCCGGGTGTGTGTCTGACACACGCGGAAACCCATCACCGTGCTTAAGAGTATTCAAGCCAAGCTGGGAATTCCATGCATCCCACCCACACACATGGAAATCCCAGAGAGAGATTGTTGGAATGAAATGCGGTCTCTCTCTCTCTCTCTCTCTTTGGAGGGACGCCTCCTGCTCACCTAATTCTGGAAAGTGTTAGGCGCAGGTTGGCAAGAGCCAAGGCTTTAATCGTATCTTAACATGAACTCAGGAGAAATCCAGCCATAAATATTTGAATACTTCTCCCTCTCTCTCTCTGTCAGATGTTTTTATTTGGGGGTGGTGGTGGGGGGGGGGGGCGGGAAAGGATGATTTTTAAAAATCAGCAAACTTTTAATTCTACACATTGCCAACAAGCACAAAGGAATCGCACTCCAGTCGGCTCTCATTTAAATTCAAGGCAATGCTGGAAGGGCCCAGGTATCTTTTAGCAAATGCAGTCCATACCCCAACTTGCTGTGCTGTGGGGCACCATTCCTTCATTAAACTTTCAGCCCAATTCACCAAGGAACAGAAACTGTCAAATTTTGATTTTGCACACTGGGAACTGGGCCGAAACTGCCAGAAACTCTCGCCCTTAATCCTCATAAGCAGTCAGAAAATGTGACAATCAGGCCAAGTCACCCTGCCGTATGATGAATACAAAAACTTCAGGCAATGGATTGAGCCTCGAGAACCTCTCCGACAAACCTGTCACTTATTTCTGGGCATTTTTCCCCTCCTCATCCTGAACCTCATTTGAAAGCACTGCTAACAAGCAACTCTTTGGGATTGTTGCTGCTATTCTTATTTGCTGTATTGGAGAACCCTGATGGCTCTAACTTTGTATTATCGGTCAAAATGTTTTATTTGCGTCCCCCTGTCCCCCTCCTCCCAAAAAAAACAAAAATGCTATAGAACAAGAGATAGGATCCAAGCCACTGCACATGGCACTTCAAAAAAAAACCTCTGATGACACTAGATTGTGGTACAGTGTTGGGTTTGATATGCATACTCATACTCACCGCCAAAATCGATTGTTTGTGTAACTTCTTTTCACACGCGAGACAAAGTTCAGCGACGTGCGAGTGTTCATGTGCGGCACTGGGTCAAGGTTCGGTTGATAGAGTCACAGCGATGTAGAAAATACGTGGAAAGCTTCAAATCGAGTTGAAAATGTAAAATGCATGGACTGAGCTTTAAAGCTTTGTGCCCACTATATTCTCTTGCCCTTCACGCTTTTTTTTATTCCTTTCAATGCATGAAAGCCATTGACATTCTTACCTAGCATGGGAAGTTAATTCCTCCATTGGCAGCGTACTTTGTGTGAGATTGGTGTTGCAGTCTATGAACACATTGTGTCTCGACCCCCATTGGTCTTTGCATGACTTTTAAATGTTTTGTGCTGTCCTGTACTTTGCCCTGTTCTGTCCCCATAAAGTTTATTAATGTTTTCGTTAACAAAATGGAAATGTGTATTCTTTTACAGTAAGCAATGAGCTTCCACCGTAAAAAAGTTTCAACTTTCTGCTGCTCAATTCATTCGATTTCAACAAATGTTCGGAAACTACATAACGGAACAAAACGGTTAAGAAAGAGCTTCAGGGTTTCAGTTTGCATTGTGATACAATTCAATGGTTTGTTGCTGGAAAGCAATCCATTTAACCATCCTTCAAGGACATGGCGTGCTAAATGAAATTTTAAAAAAAATCCCGATTTATAGCTGTTCTCAATTTTTTGGGCATTTGACTTGTCCCAGTCAAATTAAGAATTAAATATCCAATTTGAATGTCTATCTTGTACAATCCTATAAATGGACACACAGAGGTTTTTTTTCAAGGATTTAGAAATGGTGGTTGACACGACTGTTAATTTGTTTTTTTTCTCGTTTCTCACGTAGCACATTTTTGACTTGTCTAAGCTCCTACATCGAATATGGTGGCAGGCAGTCAAACATTACAGTGGAGCCTCATTAACTTGACGTTATAAATCAGAATTGGCACAGTGTTAAGCATATGCTCCTGTATTCTATGGAAGAAATAATATTTTAGGGTAGTCATACACCTGAAATTACTTTGAGAAATGTCCTTGCCCAATTTCATTTATGATATGACTTTTAACCAGAAAAACAGAATCCATTGAAGATAATGACTTGGGAAGCCTTTTTTGCACTTGGCAACATATTGCCCTTCAAAGCAACAGTTTTCGTTTAGTTTTTTTTGTATTTTGAGACCTGCATTCAAATGTTTTTCACGCTCCAAGTATTCTAAAATATTTGAAAGACGTGTAAAAGGTTTCTGGTTCTTTGATATCGGATCCTTGAGGCACAGGTAGATATGTTTAGTCAATAATCCAGGAGATTGAGTACTTCTTTTCTTGAAATGGTGGGTATGCTGATGGAAACTTTATTTTTTTTTCTAATCAGTACATAATTCTTTCTTGTACAAAATGACTGAAGAACTTATGACTGTAGCTTTCAGGAAACGTCTTAAATACGAAACACGTTTTAGGATTTTTACCTTTTTTTAATCCATTTTAAGGAAGTTTTGTAGTTTTGTTTTTCTTAAAAAAAAAACAAGTTTTACATTTCAACTTTTTCAGAAATGTTTTGACGTGGTATTTTGTGAAGTTCGTGTGTGTTCTTGAATTCTCTTTTTTCCTCCATTTTCTTCGTGTTTAATCCTAGGTCCCCTTACAAAGAAACAGACTGATGATTTAGGTGATAATGATGGTGCTGAAGATGAAGGTATTTTTTTGCCATCAAACCAATATGCATGACAAGGATCCTCTCAATTTTTCTCCTGTCTTAAAAGTATATATTTTTAAAAAATTTTGAAGTGCAGAGTTTTTGCACTTCATTTTCTACTTTTTTTGTCTTGCCGTTTATGATTGAAATACATTTTTATAATTCTTTTTACTAAATGTCTTCACATTTTTTTTCTTCCACAGTATTTGGTTGTAGCAAGATTTTTTTTTTAAACGACAAAAAAAGTTCCGCCACACATCATTAAAACAACTTCTTTTAAGATAATTTTTTTTTGGTTGACTTCACATCGGATGTTTTACGTATTCGCATCCCTCCTCGGAAATGACGTGACATAAAATCACAAAGAAACTTTAATACTCTGCTGCATGCTTTCCAATCACTCATTTGCATTGAACAGATACTAAAAAAAGCAATGTAGGGAAATCTGACTTTCGTTAAATGAAGCAACAGCCACATAAACATGATTGGATTAATTCATCATTCTTCACAGATTGAAATTTCAACATTTCTTGCGCAAAGATTTTTTCCCCACATAATTAATAGAGGTGGGAGCATCGATTGGAACACAATGACCTATTTCTTTATATATACTACCAGTTTAATATTTTTTAAAAAATGCACTTTTGCGTCACAAAGTTCATTGTACACTTTGCTCTTTTTTTGGAAAAATCTAACTTGGAACATATCGGTTTGTGGAATTAACATTGAAACTCAATACTTTTTTATATTTTCTGTTTCATGATTAATGGATAACCTTATTTTGATCCACTGCTATTAGTAAAGCATTCGCAACACTATTTTAAATGTTTTTCCACCATGCAAGGCATTGCCTGATCAGTAAGAGGGTGTGATATTTTTTAAACTAGAAATATTAGCTAATGGAGAGGGAGAGGCCATTCTGTTCTTCCTGTAACTGCGACCACAGCACTAATCTGTCACCTCATCGCTTAACAACTAACGTTATATCACCTATTTATTGTCACTGAAACAGTCAATCCCACCCCTCCAAAAAAAAATTGCTTGAGAAACTTACTACAATTCATAATTGGTCCATAAAATAATATTTTGACTTTCTGTTAGTCCCATTGATTATTTCTTACAAAATGATGAACGTTTTCAATCTCGCAATTGGTTGTTTCAAACTTTTCAAACTTTGTGTCATTTTACAGACATTCGGGATAGTGGACCCAAACCCGTTATGGTCTATATCCACGGTGGTTCGTACATGGAAGGCACAGGAAATATATTTGATGGAAGTGTCCTGGCAAGTTATGGCAATGTCATAGTCATCACTGTTAACTACAGGCTTGGCGTCTTAGGTAAGAAAATACGTTTCTTTTGGACTTCAGGTACATTAATTCCTTGTTTAGTTAAACTTCTCAACTTAGTTTAAAACAATGTCTATGTCTTTTGCTGAGCACATACTACAGTACGATTTTGATTCTTGTGGCTAAAACTGTGATATTGTGATATTGTAAATAAGTGTGATGCTGATGACAAAATACAAGATACTTGGTAATAGTACTCGGAGAGATAAAGTCAAGTTACAGAGGACATAGCCAAAGTGGTAAATGGAAGATAAATTAAGAAGTTGTTGGAGATGATTTCAGTTTAGTTCTCAGTGCTATAATTTGGGGCTTCTTCAACCATTTTACTCAGAGTGACTGTGAAGAAACACATCAATGTTGCAAAAGTACTTACCTTCTGCTAGCTTTAAGTGTGTTGACAAAGCAATTCAGATTGACTTCTGGATCATATTCAGTCTGTACTATTTCTGCAGTATACTGTGCCAGATTGTGCTAATTTTGATGAATATTAGGCTGTAAAATCAGTCACGTATTACTTCCAGTTGTTGAGGAAATGCAGGAATCCATGCCTTGCATTCAAAACTTGGAACAAAGCAGATGAACAATAATTTGAATACATGTATTGTGTGCATAACATTTAATGTTTACATCACTTTTGAGGAAAGCCTCATCATGGGTATTGTTGTTCATGGTTATTTTAGGTTTTACAAAATAACTTTTGTCATCAACTGATATCTTTTAATATCACATAACAACTTGGATTGAATATTTGATGTACAATGTTTCTGTGTAATTTCATATTTCCGGATTAGAACAGTTGTCGTAGATTGTAATCTAATTGTATCACAGGTGAAATATTTAAAATATGGCTTTTTGTTCCAGTAGCCAGTAGGATGTAACACTATATTTATTGGCTTTAAATAAAAATGCTTTGTGACATAGAGCGATAGAGCCTGGAAATGTGGCACTTTGCCCCAGTGTTTATACCCCACCCGAGCCCCACCCTTCCTATTTCCCTTGCCTACACTGCTCTCTTCTTTCTTTCTCCCTCATGAATGCAGCGTTTTGCTCTCAAATACATTGATGAATTGAGGTTGGTGTTAATGAGGGCAGGGTCAACCATTTTCGCTTTGAGTACCAGTTGGAATGAATCGATTCTGCATTTCAGAAAGTTGTTCCTTATTTTAAAATACACTTCCATTTTCAAGAGATATAATTGCAGCTTTAGTGTAACACGGCTGGGAGATTACTGTACAGTGTCAAGTATACCTATGTATTAAACATTTGCTGTGTGGCAACAGTGCTGAGTTACCTTGGAATGCATGTCCAGTGTCATTGGATCCCACAGTGAAATTTCTTTATCATATTGTGTGATATTGTAATCCTCTTTGACGTTACAGAGTTAATAAACATCCTGTCGATTCTGCAAACTACAACCTATTTAAGTCGGTACATTCTGTTCAACGCAATGTTTTTTTCCTTAACACATCGGCTTGCTGTACTTCAATTTAATACGCCAATATGATTGATGGATTTGTCTGTCCCTTTCATCTGAACCTACTGTGGCAGTCACTCTCACTGCCTTGCATTACTGTGAAGTGTGTTCTATGCCTGAAAACAAAAACAAAGGTGGCTATGAGCACTCAGCAGGTCAGGCAGCATCTATGGAGAAAGGAAAGTGAGTCAACGTTTCGGGTCCACGACCCTTCGTCAGAACGTTGACTCACTTTCCTCTCTCCATAGATGCTGCCTGACCTGCTGAGTGTTCCCAGCCACTTCTGTTTTTGTTTTCAGATTTCCAGCATCTACAGTGTATTGTGTTTATTATTATTATTATTATTATTATTATTATTATTATTATTATTATTATTATTATTATTATTATTATTATTATTATTATGTCACACAAAACACACAACCTGAACAGTATTGCAGAAGCTAGCACTCCTCGAGGTTGAGAGACCCACATCATTTGGGGTGTGTGCCAGAAATTGGCTCACATGCAAGAAAAACAATAATAAATTGCTAATTTTCAATCCACGACTGTTTGTGGGACGCTGCTGTGCGCAATTGGCTGCTGCGTTTCGCCCACAAATATACAGTCAATTCACTTTTCAGTCTATTCTGTGAAGTGCTTTGAGACTGCGAGAAGACGTGAAAACCGCTACATCAAATGCAAGGATTATTAAGGATTATTATAACATCACTTTTTTTACACACACACACAAAGTAGCAGAATAGATATGAATTGATTCATAATACATGGCGACTGTAAATTCAGCTTCAACACCAGAATATATAACTTTTTATTATAAAGGTTTGAGACAATGATTTTGGCACTGTGCCACTAAAGCCTTCACATCTTACATCTTAATCGAGTCTGGCGATTTAACCTCTGATTTGGGTTTGCAATGGAAGCAGGTTTCAATTAAGTGCCACCCTGAAAGTATTAAAAAACTAAAGTTAATCAATAAGAATAGGTTTTATGTTTCTCCCTTACAGTGAAGCCTTATTGCAATTGGCTGCTGCGTTTTGCCCACAATATGCAAATATCAATTCACTTTTCAGTATATTGTGTGAAGCGCTTTGATACATCTCAAAAATGTGATAAGGCGTTATATCAAATGCACGATTATTATTATTATTACACTTCCTTTTTCTCGGGAATCTCTACAGCAGACTCTGCTTTGTAGGAGAAGTGAAGCTACTTGTTCACAGGCTGTAGGCAGTGATGCTGTGCAATCAGCTGTTTGTAGCGATGTGAGAATTGCCAGGAATGATGAGCCTTGAATTTTTCACTTGGCTTTTTCCTCTCCCTCCCCTATGGCGAAGGGTTTGACCTATAGTTGGCACCTCATTTGATGGCATGGTTAAGATCAGAAACTCGCTGTGGGAAGTTGCAGGTGCAAGCCAATTCATGGCACTGCTGGTTACAGCACCAGTGATCTGCAGCGGGAAGCCATTGTAAATATTTTGGCTTCATAATCATCAACTAATGGCTCTGCGGTTGGTTGGAAAGGGGTGACGGATTATCTGTTCTCTACCTCTGGCGTGTGGGTGTATCTATTTCTACACCTGTTTGATACCCCTCTGTCAGCAATTGTAAGAACGTGCTTCATAATCTGTCTTTGTTTCTCAGCTGTGAAATGAGGCTTCCTCGAGAATCTCGTCTCATACAGAGTTAACAGATCTGATTATTGAAGGCTGACATTTTCCCCACAGCTTATTAATTACGTTCATGCTGATAAGGAGCAGTAATGAAGATACATTTAAAACATTGTAATAATCAAATTACCCGAATATATTAAAAAGACGAACAAAAATATCTTCCTTAGTCATGAAGTGTGAATGTTAAATGGATAATTACATGTTATGTGACATGTTTTCCATCACGTGGAAACTAAACCACTGTCACTGTTAGCTATGAGGGACGGCAAGATCACAACAGCTCCCCACAACATATGGCCCTAAAGAAATAAAGAAGCAACATTTGTCAAAGATAATGCAAATTGTCTGCTTTGGCATTACAAGTTTCAAAATATTTTTATAAAATGCTACTCAGAAGAATACCCCGATGAATAATCTTGAAAGAACTGTAATGAAGGCACTATTGACTGCTTCAGTTCCGCTATGCAAAGGCAAGGATTATTATTTTGCTGTATCAGTATTTGCAAATTCGTGCAACAAAAGCTTCAGATCGTTAAAAGAAAACTGCCCACTTTAAAGAGGCTTTGCTGCAGATTAGAGGCTTCATTAGACAGTACAGCACTGCCAATGATTGCATTTTATGAGAGCGATGCGAGGAATGTGTCTATAAAACTGGACTGATCTCACCCAGTTGTTTCATTTTCTTTTTCTCACTTGCCTTGCAAAGATGGAACATTCTCATGACTCTGAGCGGGTCAGTAGACAGCCGGCAAAATGAACGCAACGAAGGACAGTTAGCACGAGAGTGTGGGACTGAAACTTCTTCCTTCCAGGCTCAGTCCGACTCCATATCTCCTGAGCTCCTGCTTCACCACTGAGCCTAATGATCTGTGCTCCTCCAGTGCCATAACTAGCTGATGGTTAAAATACCAATTCAGATTCCATCACGTTGTCCTTCGTCAAAGTGATTTGAAACTACGGTTACTTTTTGGGTTAAATATAATGAATGACCTTCAGGCTCTCATGTTGACTGGGGCGCATGTAGTCGGGGAGTAAGCATGGGCCTACAAACAAACTTAGGGTGAAGATTGTGTGTTCAGTCCCCAATCTGCGCTGAGTTAACTGAGCTGAGCCGGACTGGCCCTCCGATCAGGGAAACAAAAGGTATCCAGATCTCCAATTCCTTATTAATATTCAGCGACCCTCTCCTGTTCTGGAGATGTGCATGCGTGGACTCAATGAAAGGACAGATTTGTCATGTGCATTGCCCCACATACTTGAACAGCCGCTGTTGCTCAATGTCAAGTGTCATACATGAATAATGGTCACTTAGGTAAGGTGTTGTATGATGTAAATGAACCCAAGTGCAGAGAGAGAGGAGCCAAAAAGGAGAGGAGAAAATTGATGAGGAAGAATCAATTAATAATGTTTACTCTTGCCAACAACTTTCATTATTATTTGATCTTTACCACGTGTGCTCAGCTGCCATGACTGTTACTTCAATGTTTCCTTGCTTTAATTTATCTCTCTCTCTGCTGAGACGTATTTGATTCTGAGTTCTTGCTTTTCTCTTTATTCTCTGGTTCTATGGGTCGGATTGTCTGAACCTTTCCACTTCGCTCCATTTTATTTCAGTTCATCTTCAACTCAGTGCCTCTTCCAAGTTTCCCTCCTTATCCCTTTTCAGCTGCTAAGTGCCAGTTTTTTTTAATTAACTTTCTGAATCTTTAAACAAATGTGACTGTTTTTCAATAGGATTCCTTGGGATGACTTCCAAGGGTTACTAACAAGTCCACAGCTGATGGCCTGTGTTTTGTTGTTGTTCCTGTGCTGGCATAATCTCCGCTGTAAATTGAAGAGAGATG